GCCTCTCGTAGCGGGCGGCTGTCGGAGGGCAGCCCGCGGGAAACGCCGAGGCGACGCGAGTGTTTCTGTTGCAGTGCCCTTGAGAAGACCGGCGGAAGAGGCGAAGGGGAGGCGGCGGACTGTGCTACTGCGCCGTGCGTGGAAGGTGATTCCTGCGTTTTGGGTCAGTTCTCGGGACTGTGGATCTGGTCAGCTGCCTGAGTAATTTTTCAGTTCAGCTGCCTCACTCGTCTCCCTGGGGGTGGTTGTGCTGCTAATAACGGGTCAGGAGTTGGTGTCTCCTTCTACCAGTTGAAAAAAACCCCGATGATTTCATGTCTTTGTTGATGAGGACCTTAGAGTCAGGACATGGCGAAGCAGAGGCATGGATGCATTGTGGCCATTAGGCGACGGGGCCTTTTTAGGGCAGACAGCTGGTGGCGTAATGGCAGTTGTCGTCAAAGGGCTTTCACGCACAGGCTGTGTATTGTCAGGGTTGTTTTCTCAGCATGGAATCCAAATCTGATGCAGTTCCTAGTGGCGTTACATAAGACTGCTGATTAACCCTGGCTTCTGAGTTAGTGGCCAGCGTCACTAATCCCTTACTGCATTTTTAATTAGTACAGCTGAGATCAGATATTCAGCATTTCAGCAATAGACTAAATACTTTTCTTGTTAGAGGGGGTGTATCTTTTGCCTTTGTAAAGTGAGAGATGACTCTTTGACTTGTTTTCTTTAGTATATGTATTAGTTATGGATGTTTGGTGTTAGATACAGGCATGTCACAGCTGCAGTTTGGAGCTCTAGAGCTCTCACAGAGCCAGGACTTTGAAAGTGACTTTGTGCCCAGTGAAGGAGATGCTAGGCACCAGTTTCACCCTGGAGCTGCTATCCCTTCCAGACCTGTGAAGAACAATATTAAAGATGGTATGTGAAAATGATCTCAGATGCCCTTTTGCTGCTCTGTCAGTTCTCTCTGGTTTCTTTAAATTATAGTTGTTGTATTTCTTTGGCAGGAAAGACAGTATTAGTAGTTGTCAAATATTACTTAACAGCTTATTGGTAGTTGAAAGGAATTTTGCTGTCTCTTTCCTTTGGGATGGTTCACTTGTTTTCTTGTGGCTATCCCAGTGCTGACCTGTGTTTCTGGAATATTCAGGGAGGCCAGTCCTGGATTCTCTCTCTGGTAAAACCCTCATTCTGTCCTTTTGTCATTTCTGTTCTCATTGATAGTTTAAAAGAATTTTTTTTTTCTTTTTCATATAAGCTTGTCTTGATAATTGTGTAGTTTACAGAGCTACACTTCTCTTTGTATATTAATCTAGGTGACTTGAGGAACAATTCCTCCCCTCCCCTCTCTCTAGAGCTGTGTGGGGACAGCATAGAAAGCGGCTCCAGCACCAAAGCTCACAGTGGTTCAGAAGGGCAGCACGAAAATTCTGAAAGGTAAAACAGTCCCTGTTCTCCATAGGTCTTTTGCTGACATTCTGGAAGTTGATTTTTTTGTCTCCTTGATGAAATTTTTAGACGTAGGAGGTTTCAGGCTGTAAGGGAAAGGAGAAAAGCAGAGGGAAAGGTGAAGTGCCGATGAGAGCATTTTGCAGCAGTTTTGGCCAGGGAGTGCTTTCACCATTCCTAGCTGAAAAAAGAGGTGGTGCCAAACTCTTACACACAAAGATATCAGTAGGTTCCTTTTCAAGGGAGAGTACACTGGATAAGAAAATATAGTAATAATTTTCTTAAAGTTAAGTGACTGGAATATGTTAAAAGGAGTAACTCAGTTTTAGTCGCGGAAGTTTTATCAAGATAACTGAATCACTGCAGCATGGGCATTGGCCTCACAGGAGAAACCTAGATGCTAAGTGGTGGCTATTCCAGGAAGCCTTTGAGCATTTGCTATTTTAAGCTTTATAGTTTTAATTATTTTTAAATGTGAAACTTCATTTTGTTGAAAACTTTTTTTATTTATCTTTTAGGCCAGATAGAATAATATTTAGCTCTTCTTGCATTGTCACATTCTGCCACAAAATAATACTAAAAAGGAGGTGAAACAACATACCTAGAATCCACATTGAATAGAAGTCCCTAGAATGATTTGCATTCTATTTAAACACCACTTAGACTGGTTGAAAACTTACAAGAATTCTGAAAGTGCAACTTGTCAAGGTTGAAGATGTTGTTGGTTTGGTTGGTCTTCCTCCTTCCCTTCCCCTTCCTCTTTTTTTTTTTTTTTTTTGTCTGTGGTACGTGCAATAGAGCACCTTTCATCTGTGCTGATACATTTTCTTTAAAATACTGCAGTATTACTTTGTACTTCAAATTTCTCCTGTCAGTGATGGTGCCTTGCTTTTCCAGAACTCTACAAGAAACAGAAGAGCATACTAGAAAACAAATGCCAGTCTGTGACCCCACTAAAACTGAGAAATCCCTTGATTCTGGTCACGAGGAGTCAGATATCATATCAACTCAGGAAGAGCTGTTTCCTGGGAGCAATGAAACAGGTAATGATAGACAAGCAGAGCCAAAATGTCCATCCCAGTGATGATCCTAATCATCATCCCTAGGTGATCTTCTTAAGTATGTGGTGTTTTAGGGTGTAGAGTAATGTTTTTAATTTGGCAAAACATTCCACGCTACTCTTCTGAATTGGCCTCCCTTTTGGGGATAGGACAGGATCCTACAACCAAAATCTTTATACTACAATTTTAGGAAGTCTTATTTGTCATCTAGGTTAATGCTCCTTCCCTGTAAAAGAAGAGTTCACATGAAATAGGATCAAGAGAGAGGTCATTGCTGTATGTCTTCCTAATGTCTGTGTCTGGTTTATGGTATCCAGAACTGAAAGGCTAATAAACAGATAGAATGGTTCTTAACAATCTTCGCAGTGAAAGGCCTAGGAAATAAAGTTCTGAGAAGCCACTTTGTCACAGTTTATAATGTATGAGCTAAATGAAGTCTCTCTTTATGCTTTTTGTGTGGTTTTAATTTATGCAGAACTGAGTCTATGCAGGTATGCTCTTGTACCTGAACCCTCTGTGTCCCGAGGGCTCAGCAGCAGCCTTGTGTTCACACTGGGTCAGTGGTCAGGGCAGGGTGTCTTTTCTTGTAAGAACCTTGCCTCTATTGGCGTTCTAGTGCTGGAACAAACGTGCTGGTATTGGAGCAATTGGGTATTTTTCTTTTAAAATTCCCAAGTAGGAAGACTTGTACAGTCTAGCTTGAAAATAAACTATTGTATAGGTACAAACTTATCTTTTTTTATCTTAACTATATTATGCTCACATTTCACATACTGAAATTTCCTGTACAGTTTTTCTTTGACTCTGTGAAAATCAGCTTGCCCTTGCTCCCCTGGGGAGTAACTGTGCAGTGTGAATGTCATTCCTTGGAAGTTTCTGATCGGCCTGGCAATTGGTCAGATTTCTAATCCTGTTTCCATTTGTTCATAACTGTTGCAGAGGCTGGCTGTCTGATAACCAGGGTGGAAGAGGGGAGTTCTCTGGCGTGCACCCCTGCCCGCAGTCTGCAGCTCCTGCAGCTCTCTGGACAGGGATCCCTTGTACAGGAGAGTCGTTCCATGTAAGCAAAAACACCCTGCAGGTCATTGCAGTAGCTTAACTGCAGTAGTGCGTTTCCACTGTTGCTCTTCAGTCAAGGCTGCTACTGGATTTGAAGCAGTCAGTGTTTTAATTCTGTATGGAGAGGAGCATGGCTTTATTTTGCAATGAAATGAACCTATGATAGCAACATGGTCAGTTTCTCTTTCACAAGTCCCTTGCTAGTGAACACCCAACACTCTCTTTATGAGCAGATTCCTAATGTGACATGCTGGAGCTACGTTTGGGGAGAAGTTAATGCATTTGTTTAGTGATGTGTGGTCTTTTCCATGTTCACTTTTCTTGGTCTGCAGTGTCTCCTCAGACTCAGTTATTCCTCCTGTCGCCTTTGGCTCCAGTGCTCTTGTCCCCAGCAGTCCTACTGAACAGCAGCAAACAAAAGGTGTGAACTTTTCTGCATACTGCTTTGTGATTGTGTATTTCTGTGCTTTGTGGTTTATCTGAGCATGCAGCCTTTTCAAAACCTGCTAAAACTGTATTTAGAGAGTAAAGCAGGACTGAGAGCTCTGAAAGCGGTAGGTGAGGGGAGATCTGTATTTGTGACTCAGATGCTGATGTGCTGTTGCTGTTTCCTGCATAGCTGTGATAATAAAATGCATATGTTCAGCTAGCTCCACTTCACTTAGCATGGGAAATGCTTCATGTGGGATACAGATTGCTGCTTGCAGTTATCTTCCTTTCTCAGGGAGCAGGCATCCTTGCTACGGGCAGCTCTCTAAGCACGGTCTGTACTGTCAGGACTGTGGCATAGCAGCTCTTTTACCTGGACTGGGTTGACTTGCACAGTACAAAAAAGCTTTTGTGTATTATGTGTGTGTTCTAGAATGCCATGCCAAAAGAGGGATTGTTCCATATGATACCTTGGTTCTTAAACATTTTCTGTAAGCACTTGTTCACCGTGAGGGGTAAGATAGCCATCTACACAGACATTCAGTATGCTACAGAAGCACTGTTACTGTCTGTGGGATTCCTGTCACAGAAGGTGAAATACTTTTTTAAAATTGATATCTTGTTAGCTGGGGTCTGAATTTGGTTGTATTGTACTAAAGGCAGCAAAAGGTGGGGGGGGAAAGCCCCAGAGAAATGCTTCTATAAATTTTGGATACTTTTTTGTAATTGTAGAAGTTATAGACCTGTAGCAAAGTAGTTATATCGTAAAGAAACCTTTCTCCCTTCCCTAGCCCCCTTCAATTTAAGGATGTGGATGTTTTTGTTGATTGCATTTTACATTTTTTTTTTTTTTTCTCCAGAAAGAATTTACCTGGAGAGATGATTTTATGTTCACTTGTTTAAAGTATGAGCAAGTTGCATATGCCACTGAAGACAAGTCTTTTGATAGAATTTTGGAAACATTAGGTACAAGGCAAGAATTTGCTAGTAATGTATCTTCTGCTCTTTCAAACCAGATGAACGGATGGATGTATCTAGCCCTGCAGAAGGAAGAGAGCTGATGCAGAAGCAGAGGGATACACTCATGGAGATGACCATTTCATGTGTCCCACCAGCACCCCTTGTCATACCTCAGGCTTCCACCCCGGTGTCCCAGAGTGCCCCCACCTTCTCTCCTGGAGCCGTGCCTGTCCCGTCCCAGCCGGAGTTCTCTCACGTAAGGGTTCTTGGGGAAACCTTGCTGAGGGCTTTGTGTGGCTCTTGCAGAAGATGAGAGTCAGCCTCTGTCCTTCTGCGTTGACCTTCCCTACTGAGCTGGTTCTCGTGAGCTTCCCTGTCCCCACCAGTCAGTTACCTACTGAGCATGCTGCGTGGGGGTTTATCCTGCAGAGACAATGCAGAACAGCTGGAGAGCATGCAGGGAGATACTGGACATAGAATGTATCTTCTTATCTATGCCAGAGATCTTTCTTTTGTGCTTGGTTTCTTTTCTTTCCCTTTCTGAAAGGCTGCTGCTTTCTGATGCTGAACTAGGCATCCTGCATCTCAAACTGTGTCACAAGTTAGACTTCTACCCGGATAGACCTTAGCATCATTTGTCATGGAGAAAATGAAGCTGTTAATAAAGCATTTGTATTCTCCTACAAGGCTAGAATTCATTTACTGCATTTTTTAAGTTGCTTATTCTTACTATCTGTTGATTCCTTTGTGCTTTTGTGAAAGTTACTACTGTTCAAAAGTACTTGACAGATGGTGGCTTTGCAGCTCAATATTATAAATTTAATGAACTTAAGGCAGCAAGTAAAGGCTGAACTAGAGTCTTCAGCAGTTGAAGACTTGTCCTTAGCTGAAGGCAGCTTTCATGCTAGTGTAATAGATTGCTCCAGAGAATCTTGCCAGAACTCTTGGTGGTTTGACTAAAAGTAGCTGCCTGTTTGCCATATACCTGTAATTCATGATTTGGTAGTGAGAGGCCTACCAAGGATTGTGTCTGACTTTGCCACAGGGGTACTAAAAAGTAATGGCTAGTGAAAATTTTTCTCAGCAAGAATGGGACAACTATGACTCATGTAAATGGGGGCAGGGGGAAGGGATAGGAAGCTCAAGGGGGTTTTTATCTGTAGTTTTGGGCTGAGTTTGCTCTGCTCCATAATCCAGTGCAATATTCTAAGAATAAGAGATAAATTAACAGTCCTACTTGGGATGCCCTGATACTCCCATGTCCTGAATGTGTTTTTTTCCTTTTATTTTAGGATATCTTTGTTCCAACTCCGAGCCCAGAGAAGAAGCATGAAGGAGAAGTAAAAGCTGGTGCTTCAGCCCGTCCATGCTTAGCAGATCTCTCTGGCTGCACAGATGCTTTGTCGAAGGTGTCTACAGGGGACCCTGTGTCACAGCCTTCCGAGTCCTGTAAGCTGATGCTTTCTGCAAGTGAGGGTAGCCAGCCCACAGACAGAGAGGTCAGCTCGGGCTCTCTGAGTGTGGGCCAAGACAGCGAAACCACCCAGGCCGAGATTTCTGAGTGCCAGGCCTCAGGCTTGGGGCTCTGCTCCATGGAGAATGACAGCATGAAACTGAGGCTAGATGCAGGTGATGAAGCTGACTCTGAAAACTGTGGAAAAGCAGAAAAGGAGGGTTTAGAGACTGCAGGAAAGCCTGTGATGCAGTTAGTTAGTGCAGACTTGGAAGGAAATGGGTCATTAGCCCCTACAGCTCCTCAGGAAATGGAGTGTATTTCTGGAAGTCAGACTGCTGCACATCAGTCTGGTCTGCCTGAGGTTTTGTCACACACTCAGGGTAGAGAAGCACAGTCTGAGGATCATCTGTCGGAAGAGACTTCTGAACCCGAGGCAGTTCCTGAGACTCAGTGTGAAGAACAAGAAAAACTGCAAGTAAAAGAGAAAGAAATAAACGAAGATGGGTCTCATGTTAATGTCATGCTTTCTCAGAGGCTTATTCCTGAGAGGGAAGGACAGTGTCATGAAGATATGGAAGTGGATTTTGCTGATGGTTCTTGTAAAAATAGCGAGAATTTGTCTGATCAATCCCAGGAATTAGAAAAGATTGGACCGGAAAGCTGGGGAAGAGAAACTTCTGTAGGGGAGTTACTGGCACAGCACAACAACTTGTTTCCTAAGTTAAAGAGTGATGTTCCGTCAGAGGTGGTGTTGTGTGCCAAAAGGCATCCAGGTTGTTCAGAAATAGGACAGGTAATGAGGAGCCAGCCACTACTTCAAGAGACAGGAGTTGACGTGCTGGTGGCTCAGCAGAAGAGTCATGTGCCAAACAATGCAGAGGACACTGCTACAACAAGGAATCTCGAGCAAGCAGAGCAGAAGTGGCCACTGGAGAAGGCAGCTGCTAAATCCCCCAGTCCTCCCAGTGGTAAGTGAATTTAGGTTAGAAGTTCAGAGGTGCATACTTTGAATAATCTCAGGGACAGCTGTGTACAATCCTCCATGTTTTCAGGGAGCATTGATGTTGGGTGGGTGTTAAACAGAATCTCTTTAGAGCAGCACTACAAGTTACTGTGTTCTGTGTGTAACATGCCTTTGCTTTTTTCACCCTTTTGTCAAACTACTGCAGGCAAGAACGATAAGGTAATCTTTGTTCCTAGCACTCTTTTGTTTTATGGCAGATACGCAGAGCAACTTGAAAAACTCAGAGTGTTGTGACCTTGGCAATGCTCAGGGATTTTTGTACCTCTTTTTTTTTTTTTTTCCTTCTTCCCCAGAAGCAACAATAGTGTCCTTGAAAGGAGGAGGGTGTATGGTTGTCTGTACTTTCCATCGTGTACATCTCCTTACTGTTTTGTTGGGTTTTTTTTTTCATTCTCAGAGGAGAATTTTCTTTTCTGGGGGTGTACAGAGCAGCTTTGAGCTAGAAACTAATACAGCAAATTTGTCTTGAGATTATTTTAAAGCAGAATAGCCTGTCACTCATGTGTAAGCTGTGGCTCGGCAGGTAGTGTCATGATGCATTGAAATCCCTTTAACATGCTGTTGTGTAGTTGTACAAGAAATGTGGGATGCTATACCTGAGTTTTCTGAAGCTTTTGCCTCTTAGTTGGCTTCATTTTAAAAGAGAGTTCTGTACTCCTCAAATGAGAAAGTAATAGAAAGCTTTTACTAGGGCTTTGTCTTGAATTGTACACTTCTTTGAGATACAAGTGATCTTTCATTAAACTGCAGGTTCAGAGAGTGGGAGAGAATTTCCCCCTTCTTACAGTGACAGCAGGTGACTCTCAGTCTCCTGAAGCTGGGGATTATGAAAGATGAGGGTCTGAGAACGTTAGTTGTCCATAGGTGATGGTTGTCTTTACATGTCCTGAACTTAGCAGAGGTTTAGTTATCTCTTTCCACTGTTTTGCTAGGTAGCTTATCTTCTGTGAATCCTTCAGATAGTACAATGGAAGATCAGTAGAATCATGTTGGGCTGTTAGAATTAAATGAAACATGTAGCAGGGAAGACGTTTGTGAGCTATCTGACAGATCAAGATTGACCAGTCTGTGATTTTGATTTGTGGAACCTGTAAAGCTCTGAACTAGACAGAGTTTCTCTTATCACTCAACGGCCATGTTATTGTTACTTATCCCTATATTCTGTTCTGCAGAGCTTTGTTCAAGTGATAATACTTTCTGTTTTTTCCTTCTGAGTTATTAGTGCAAGACATACTACTTTAAAGCCATTTCTAACACCCAGCCCTCTTTCTTCCTTCACGTCCTGGGTTGATGACTGGTCTGAATGGTTTCCTGCTCTCAGTGAAGGACACCTCTCTGATTTTCTCTGCCAGTTTACATTTGGTCATTGGTTTTTGGCTTTTTGGTTTTTTTGAGAGCTGTACATTTCTTCAAAACTTACTCAGAACTTCTCTAATCATTCTCAGGAGTCCAATATTTTTTGTTACTGTTTTCTGAACTACTTGTTTAATTTCTCCAGTTGTGAACTGATCCCTACTGCCATTTATGGCAGCTTTGGCTGTTTCTTCCTGAAAGCCTTTTGAGCTCGTTCTTATATGGTTCCCTCCCCTTTTCTTCAGTTCTTGTGACCTTGAACCGTGCTGACTTCTGGAACATGTGATCCTGTTTGGAAAGGTCAAAATGGCAGATTTCCAAAAGGAGCAAGATGAAGAGCTTTCTTCTTTATATCTGAACAGAAGTAGGTGAGATGACTCTGAAGTGCTAGATGGAGACGGATGAAAAGGGATTGAGTGTAATACTTATGTGTGGTTTTAATACCAAATTTGCTGACCAGTTTGAGAAAGAGAGAACCATTTCATAGTGTGGAACTGAACGGTGAGAAGAAAGTCAACAGCCTCAAGAATAGGATGAAGGTAGTATCTCATGTTGCAAGATAAGAATGACAGGTAAATATTGTCACCTGTAGGGGTTGGATTACAGCGAGGTGTGCAAAAGATTGGAGTGCTTATGCAGGTCGTCAATTTTGGAGAGATTTCCAGCAAAAGATAATAGCAGTTTTCAAGGTAGACTTTACTGTAAGTATCTGTTGACCTATTTTAAAACAAAATAAAGCTCAAATTACTTTCAAGGAGTATGGATCTCTATGGCTACAGTTTTTAACGTCACTGATGTCTGAAAACAACTTCTCCAGTGGTTTCTTTATTTTGAGCTCAGCATATGTTTAGTCCTGTAAAAATTGCCATGCGTTAGGGTTTCTGATACCTTCATTGTTTAGATTTAAAAACTTCACTTTCCCAGTAACTTAGTCATATGAATTAATCTACATTGTTAAGCACTGCTTAATATACCAGCTATCATAGCAATTTAATAGGTACAACTTTGACACCCATTCTTCTGAATGCAGCAGGACCAGTCAGATGTTTGGGAGCTTTTCTGCATTCTTTAACGTCCTCTAACTAGTGGCCATCAGGTAATTTCATAATGCAGCAAACTGCTTAACTGTTGAGCAAGAAAGTAGAGTATTTTGGTTTGCCAGAAATCCATACAATTTATCTTTTTTTTTTTTTACCTGAGTGCATTTTCTGACAGTAGAGTCTTTGTTGGCTTGGGGAACCAGTAACCAGCAAGTAACATGCTGGAGGCAATTTGGTGTGTTTTTGTCAATTGAGACAGTAGTGTCATTGATTTCCGATTGGAGTTCTTCAGTTGTGGTATTTAGGTGTGTCTTAGCAACATTTGTCCAAAGTCTGGAGGCTGCATCCCTAATGATATTTAGGGATAGCTTTGAATATTGCTTATAAGTGGTACAATAGAATCATGCTGTTTAAATTAGGGAAAAAAAAAAAAAGCTTTAGTGACAGATTTTGGAGACTGCACAGAAAACCTGAATCACCAGGGTTTGAGATCTTCTGTGGACCAAGACTGGTTCTTTGGTAGTGTTGGATTATTCTGTTGCCATTTAACGTCATTTTTTTATTTGTTGTTGTTGAGGTGGGCTTTTTTTCAGTCCATGATAGCTCTGAGCTAAAGACTGAAAATCATGTTCTCTGTGAATTGGGATAGAGCAGTCAGAACAGTCACTGCATCAGTGTAGCCTGGCATACAAGTTTCCCCAGGGCTGAACGTGGGTGAATATAAGGGCAAAGATGCAGTGGGGAGATACTTCTGAAGAAGCCTCTCTTTCATCATCGAGAAAAGTGTGGGTTTGGAACTTGCTGAGAGGGATGTGATATCTTTGGGGTTTATGATGCTTTGAGGGCATCTGGTCGAAACACTGGTCAGGAATTTTGAAAGTGTGCTGATCCCATTGGATTTTGTGATCTCAAATGAACTGTTCTGTGGAGGCGTCTGGGCCATTGGATGTGCTGGGACTGGATGTTGAGTAAGACAGTTCAGCACAGTCAGGAGAGCAGTACTGGTCTTTGAAGTTAAGAGCAGTATGGGTTTTGTTAAATCAAGTAATACGTTTGACAGTGCACCACTGAAATGATGCTGAAATAAAGATGAGAGGTGCAGTTGTGTAACAAGGTGGGATGGTACATTCCACTTCAGTATGGTCTTCCACAGGGTTCACAGTCCAAAACTTCCCTTTGGTGAGTGTGAACAAAATTGCATTTTAACTTGAGGTAACATTTCCTTTGTTACATTGTACTTGAAATGTGTTTTCTTACATAAATCTAGTCCAGCTCAAACACATCACGCTGGGCTGGATTTACTTTCAAAGGAGAAAAATAAACCACCAGAGAGATGAACCCAAGTTAATGCTGGTGGTTGGTTTGCACACTTGCATTGCACTGAAGGGCTGATTGGTATTAGGGAGAGCGTTCAGGCTTTTGAGATGTTCTGCCTGCTCTCTTCAAATTAATGAAGCCTGGTGGAAAAATGTGTAGTCATATTTTTCTTTAACCATCACTCTGTCCTTAAGGTGTGAGAAGCTTTAGATCATCCCTGTTCTCTTACAGCAGCTTTGTTCTCATGATAGTTATTTCCAACAGGGATTTTAATTCCATATCAACAGATGATGAATCATGCATCAGTAAGTACAAACTTTGGGTGAGGACTAGAAAGATCTTGGAGAAGAGTCCTTGGACTCTTGGAGTAGAAACTGGGTGGTGAGGTTTGGAGGGTGTCTTTGTTTTTGAAGTTGCCTTGAATAACATTAACTGTTCAGTTACTTCTCAAAAAAATCTCAAAGGCTGGAACATGGTGTTGTATAGGCATATGGAAAAGAAATTTACTCACTGAAGTCTATTTCCAAGACTCTATGGAGTTTATAGAAGTTGTGGTTGTATGTGAAATCTTTTTTGTAGATTGTGCATACAGAACCTCATTTAACCTCATTTAGAAAATGAACTTTTTTTTCTGGAAACGTAAAATAAAGAATAAACAGATAAGCAGTGCAGTTAACATAGTTATGATAAAGTTTAAGCATACCAGGTTAAATAAAAAGTTACTATTTTTATTAAAATAATGAGAAGTTGTGTTGTCAAGCTCTTTAATCTTTTTAACATTGCCTCAAGCCTGGCTAGAGCGGTGAATCTTTGTCTCAAAGGCTTCTGGAAGTAAAGTTGCTTCTTAATTTCTAATGAGATCCTTCTGATACATCAGAGCTAAATATGAATTACCAGTGGAGAAAAATGTATGTAATCGAGCTTTTGTTCTGTTAAATAGTGTTATAAATAAAATGTGCTCGTGAGTTAAGAACAGAGCTGAGGAAAGGCTTTGTGAAAGACAAAGCAGAAGTTATTAGGTAGGAGGTATAGGATTCTTTGAGATGTGGGGTTATTTTGGTGGTTTGTTTTTTGTTTTGTCCCTTCTGTGTGCATAGAAAACAAGGTGGCTTTTCACTGCTGCTGGCCTTTTCTGTAGGTCCTGGCGTGGCTGTTGTACCACATGCCCTGTGGGAGGGACGGGCAGGAGAGAGCTGCAGGCAGAGCATCTGGGCTTGGGCGGCTTGAGCCCTGCGGGCTGAGCGTCCCCGCGGAGCAGTGTGTGCGGGAGAGGCACTGGGACTGCACCTCCATCTGGCAGAGAAGAGGATGGTGGCTCTGCCTCACTTGGGTGGACACAGGACGGGGGTTCCTTTGTCCTCTTCCATGATGAGGGTGCAGTTTGGTGCTGTGCTGCAGTTGCCTGCTGCACTGTGCTAGAAACAGCAAACTCCCCCCCGCGCAAGGGCTGACCAAGCAAGTTCTTTACACCTTGGCATCAGCACGCGTGGGAGAGGCAAAGCGGGCCAGAGAAAGACCCAATCTTTTGATGCTGAAAGGTAAAAGGAAATGTTATATAGAAGGATGGTCTTAAGGACCTAGGAATTTGCAGAGAGCATGAAAAGTTGTCATTGTTGCAACAGTTGATATAGTTATGTGAAAGCAATTAAACTTTGAGGCATATGTATTTTTTCTAAGTCCTGTGTGAACGCTTGCTTGTTTTCTCTAATGGTGTCTGTTGGTATAGTGACTGGATTATCTTGTTCAAAGGCAGGCTGATTGTTTCTTAAGTTCTTTGGATCACCTGTTATTAGCCTGCCAAATGGGGATTTCTAGGCTAGAAGGGATTGTGTTGGCTAAACTGATGAGAATTCAGTGGAGTTTCTAAAGACTTAAGTTCTTAAATGAGGTGCTTTTTAAATGGAGATGTGCTGTGAGTGTTGGTATGACAGGCGATCTCCAGCCGTTGGTGAGGAGTGGCTGGCCTTTTGATATGCAGTGAACCCACAAACCATGAGTTCCACTGCACTGGGAAGCAGTAAAACCACACCCAAGTTTGTAGGTGATATCAAGGATGCTGCAGTTGCTGAACTCTGTTTTTAAAACTCGTGACAGCAGGGCTGGTGATGGTTTCCAAACAGGCACTGGATAGCTTTTCACTGCTTGGGTGGTTTGGTTTTCTTTTGCTGAGGGGATTACCTTGTCATGTATTTATGGCTTCATTTGCCACAAGGTAGTCTTGTAAATCCTGTGTCAGTGTCTTGTGTAACTAAAGAGTGATACACTGCATCTGGCTATAACTAGAAGTTGCATCTGCTTCTCCAGTGCTAGCTCTTGAATTTAAATAACTTGAATTCGTGGTCTCATGACCTTAACTAAGAATTTTCTTAGGTCTTTGTTGTGGGGGTTGTTTTTTTTATACGTGCTGCTTAAAATTCAGGAGTTACATAAATTGTGACTTGCATTATTTGAGTAATATCTTGAATGAAATCCAAAGAATAAATACAGTTTTAGGAAAAAGGAAGGATAGTGACAAAGGTGAAGAAAACCTATTTTGAGGAGTAAGGGGTTACTCTGATAGTTTTGTTAAATCATTCTATGTAGTTTGGAAAGAGCGCGGCCTGCAAGAAACTGGTACATGATGCTGAAGATTTAATGCAAATAAATGGTACAGGATGAGGCAAAAGGAGGGAGCATTTCACTAGGTTTTTAATGTATTTTATCCATTGAATCCTGCAGGGTCCACACAGAGTAATTCCCCCGTGGTGTGGTGTCCCTGATGGGACAGGCTGCCTCACCCAGTGGAGCCTGCAGACCCTTTAGGCTGGAGGCTGCACAGGAAAGGGCAGAAGTGTTGGAGGGGACAGGAGGAGGGGGCAGACCCTCTGGTGGCAGCCTGCAGTCTCTCTTACTTCTCTTAAAGCTTACTTTACAGAGAAGATTCTGCTATCATCGTCTAACCTTTAATTGAGTGCTACTAATTGTTTGGCACATGGGTGGCTATCTGGGGTGTATCTGCTGACCCGTGATCCGAGGCTGTTTGTTGCTAAAGCACCATTCTGTTTAAGTTTCAGGTTATTAACTCAGGCAACACATGGCTTTGCTAATTCACTTCTGTCTTAATCTTCATTTCTGTTTCTGGCCTCATTTCCCTTTTCTGTGGAAAATCCTGAGCATTTCTGAAGCAAAGCGGCGTTCTTTAAAAGTCCTATTTGTGTCAGGATATTTAGTCTCAGTTTTATCTTGCACCTTGGAACAGTAGCTGTATGAAGTTGATCACAGGCCAGATTTTCGCTGAGGGAGGTTTTCCACACAAAGTATGAGGAAGCTCAGTAGGAGCAGCTGTCCTGAAACCAGTAACTCCAGGGGAGTTTGGTACAGGACAGTGTGAGCGTTATGCTGCTCCTCGTTTCCACAGCACAGTGAACCTGTGTTTTTGGTATTTGGACAGAAGTAGTCTTCTAAAATGACTGATTTCGCTGCTCTCTGTCTTTTAGGAACTCAGTTTCATTTTACTTTGCCAAAGGAGGGTGATGTCATTCAGCCCTTGACCAGCATAACGCCACCTCTTATTGGTCAGCTTAAAATGGGACCCAGAAGACACAGCACACCAATTGGTGAGTTTAACCCAAATGACTGTTCTGCAGTGGAAGCCTGTTTGAAGCATAGAATTGTTTAGATTGGAAAAGACCTTCAAGATCATGAAGTCTAACAATTAACCTGACTCTACCAAGTCCACTGCTAAACCGTGTCCCTCAGCACCATATCTACAGCTCTAGACATGTCTAGGGATAGTGATTCAACCACTTCCCTGGGCAGCCTGGTCCAGTGCTTGATAACCCTTTTGGTGAAGAAATTTTTCCTAATATACAACCTAAGCTTCCCCTGGCACAACTTGAGGCTGTTTCCTCTTGTCCTGTAACTTGTTACTTAGGAGAAGAGACCAGCACCCACTGCTCTGCAGGCTCGTTTCAGGTAGCTGTGGAGAGTGAGAAGGTTTCTTCCTGAGTCTCCTTTTCTTCAGATTAAATAGCCCCAGTTCCCTCAGCCATTCCTCACAAGACTTGTGCTCTAGACCCATTACCAGCTTCGTTGCCCTTATCTGGACATGCTCCAGGCCCCCCATGTCCTTTTTGGAGTGAGGTCCCCAAAGGTGAACCCAGGATTGAGGTGCAGCCTCACCACTGTAGGGGTGTAATCGCTTCCCTAGTCCTGCTGGCTACACTATTTCTGATCCAAGCCAGGAGGCTGGTGGCATTCTTGGCTGCCTGGGCACATGCTGCCTCATATTTAGCCAGTTCTTCATCAAGACCCCCAGGTTGTTTTCTGCCAGGCACCTTTCCAGCCACTCTTCCCCCAGCCTGGAGCGTTGCAGGGGGTTGTTGTGGTGCAAGTGCAGGACCTGGCACTTGGCCTTCTTGAACCTCAGCCCACTGGCCTCAGCCTGTTGATCCAGCCTGGCCAGACCCCTCTGTAGAGCCTCCTGACCCTCTAGGAGGTAACACATCTGCCCAGCTTGGTGTCACCTGCAAACTTTGAGGGTGCACTCCATCTCCTCATCAAGATCATTGATAAAGATGTTAAAGAGAACAGGCCCCAGTAGTGAGCCCTGGGGAACACCACTTGTGACCAGCTGCCAGCTGGATTTAACTCCATTCACCAGCACCCTTTGGGCCCAGACATCCAGCCAGTGTTTTACCCAGCAGAGTTAAATCTTTGTATGTAATGGGGTCTGTTGGAATAACTCAAACCTACCTTGGCAGAAAACGTTGCTGTTGTATGGGGGGGTGCTCGTCCTTTCTCCCACTTCCCTTGTTGTGTTCTTTCCTGGTCTCTGGCGAAGATGTTTGCTCCTTGAGTGTGGGCTGGTGTGGAACATGGATTCTCTGCACTCATGGTGCTCCTGTATATGACCCCATTACAGACTGGGACGGGCCCCTCTGAGTGAGGGGAATTGCTCCCAGTGTCCGTGGTACCCTGGCAGGACTGGCTCTGCCAGGCCCACAAAGCACGCTGCGCTTGCAGGATGGAACGTGTGCGGTTCTGCCTGCCTAACTGTGAAGTTTTCTGTCACAAACTAAGGATGATGCCTGTGCTGTAGCACTTCTGTGCTTCAGGACTCTAGACAGGAATCTCCACTGCTGCACTGTTGCTAATAAGGCATGCTGTGAAGTATCCTCAAAACAGAACTGGGACCTGAACCCTGGCAGGGTCAATGACAGCAGCTATTTTCAGTTAACTTTTGTTTTCCTGTTTTCAGTGGATGATAGTTGCCCAGACAACACTATAGCAACTAGTGATGTTACAGCAGAAGGCACAATGGGAACCAACAATGTCACTGTGGAAAGTGCAATGGCATCAGCAGATGTGTCAGAAGTGTGTGAGAAAGGAGATTCTCTTGTGACTCCCGAGGCTGGTGCAAAACTCTCTCTGCGAATGAACCTTGTTACCCCTGTGAATGATGGGAGTGAGGAGTCCCAGCCATTCAGCTTGGAAAGTAAGACAAGGAAACCTTGAAACATACAGGTCCTATTAGATCTCAGGCCTAACTCAAAACCACTTTCTGACATTGCTCGAGACAGTCTCTGAGGCTCTGCCCTTTTTCCCATTTTTAGTTTTGGGCGGTGTCAGTTAAATTTGTTTGTTCCTGCAATGCTCTACGCAAGGTTGGAGTAGGAGGAGGGGACTCTGCTGTGAGGGAAGGTATTTCCAGCAGACTGAAAATTGTGATGTATGCTGGCCAAGCCCCAGGACAGGAAGTGGAGTTTGACTGTATTGGGATGGAATACATTTTAAAAGTATAGTCTGGACAAAAAAAGCTTGACGGCATTTTAATCAGAACAGTGACATTAAGTCAAATAGTCTAAAACTAATAGAATCTTCTGTGATGAGAAGTTGGGCAGGGAGGCTGGGCACCCTTTGTCCAGTGTTGCTCAACCTCTCTCTTCTCTTGAGTGTGGGAGGCTGGAAGGGGACAGGAGAGTCTGTCTGTTCAGGTGACATAGAAATCATCCTTCTCTTCCTCCTTGTTTCAGAGCCTGCAGCCAGTGACAGGAAAGATGGAGCTGCTGCTGCTGCCAGGGATGCTGCCAGGTAACTAACTGGGCTTGTTGGTGTGCAGAATTGATACAAAGGTCTGGGTAGATTCTTTTTCCAGTCATTACCAGCAGCAGAGGGGAAGAAAACAAAACTGAAAGCTACAATGAGACAGAGAAGCAGGGAATGATTTTAGCAGTAGCCATGACATAAAACTTGCTGCAAGAGCTAAAGAGTTAAAGTATACAGGCAAGGTGGGTGCCCCATGTGCTCTTTTACTACAGGCTTTGTGCTTCCTACTAACATCAGAATTTTGACTTCTGATTGTAGTCAAAGCAGAAATTCATGCCTTGTGCAGACTGGAATGCAAGTCTGCCCTATCCACCTCTTAAACGTTGAATGCATGGTTTTCTGCTTTTTGTCCTTATTGTGCAATTTTCTGCAAAGAATCTTTGAGGAGTTCTGAAAGAGAATTCTCTTTTTGGCATGAAGCCAATAGAAACAACCAGGTCACTCATATACTGAAATCACAGTTTAATGTTTTGACCAAAACATAAGTTACTCCCTTGATCTTTTCCTTTGTATCTATCCATCTTATCTCACATTCAATTCCTAACACTGTTTGATTTTAGCTTTTGAGGAGTATGGTTTGTAAGTGCTAATAAAAATCTAAGTCAGAAGGTAGTGACCTAGTAATCTGATAGAAGTGTAATGGTTTTAATCAGTGAGGTAACTTTGAAATGGACTCAGTGGCTCTTGTCACAGGATTGCATGCTGGATGGTGATCATGCCTCAGTGCTGAGGATGAGTGGCAGTCATTCCATGCTGGCTGAGGGGGGGGTTGCTGTGGCCTGATGAAGGCATGGTCCCCAGAGCTGCTTGCACCTGAAAACCTTTATTGGTACAATTCACACCCACTTGTAGCCCGTGAGCTGGCTGCCAGGTCATCCTGACCATGCAGCTGCTCATTTTCCCATGAGATTGTTGCAATTAATCCTTGCTATTTTTGCTTTCAGTTTCTAGCTTATCTGCTAAGAACTCTACTTGTTTTTGCCCAAGTTCCTTAGTTAGGTGCCTTGAACATTCTTATCTGCAGCTTCCCACGGTACCAAAGCCTTCAGGTTTTGTGTGCTGCTCCACACACCAGCCACCTTGGCCTGTGCCTCATCTCCAGCCCCCACAGGCTGCCTTTGTAGGTATAGGTTGAACTTTATGACTGTCATTGCCAGTGGGTTTTGTGCTATCATTAAAATTCTGGGAAGTAAACCATAAATGGTGTAACTGCGTCCCCTGGTGGGTACCAGAGGTAGTAGGTGGTGAAATTGCTGATGATACTTCAGTTTTCCACACCTTTTTCTGGAGCTGTTACACTGCTCTTGGCTTTGGGATGTCTGCAGAAATGACAGAAACACATATGCAATTGTGCCTTGTCTCTTGACCTTTGAGACTGACTATCTCACTCATTCTGTGACTGTGTAGGTCAACAAGATCAATGCCAGTTGTCACTTTCCCAAAGGGCTAGAGAACTCTTGTTTGGCTGTGCTAGGGATTTTCTCACTCCCTGATGCTTGCTTGTTTGTTTTAAATCTTTACTGCTAGCTCCCAGAAAGCATCGTCTGTGTTCAGTCGTGTCTGTGAGGTTCGTCGCGAGGATGAGGCCCGAGGTCGTGGTCTTTCCACGTCTCCGTTCAGGTAACTCCTCACAGTCTTTGCCTGCCACTGGGAGTTGTATGCACAGGTGCGTTTTCTACATCAAAGACATTGCACTAAGCCATTGTCTTTGAGTGACTTAGAAGTTTGTTGGGTACAATGGAGTAAGTATAGTAAGTGCTGTATGTTTGTATCTCAGGTGGTAAGGAAGAGGTACCTTTTTGACTGAGCAGCAGTGTGGTTCCAGCTGGTTAATGGGCTTTGGTGAAATCTGGGGCTTGAGAGAATTTAAAAGCTGCTTAAATACCTTTTATTTCTCCTATTCCGCGATCTTGTGACCTCTTGTGTTTGGTTTTGTTTTTGCTGTTGTCTCCCAAGTCCCTCCATTTCTGCTGTCCCTAGTTGCCCTGAGGGGGACGATATCGATGCGTATCTGATGTTGATACGGGTGCTGGCTGGGGGACCAGGTGTAGAAATCCCCTTCTTCAGTGTTTCCACTCCGTCTTCTGACGTGGCGGCGAGGTGTGGGTCTGTGGGGAAAGTCTAACCTATACTGCAAGAGCATTGAACAACTGTACTAAGGACTGGAACAAACAGGCAGTTCCAGTCCCAGGTGATACACAAACAGAACTGAAGACAGTCCCTCCTCAGAGCCCTCAAATACATGAGGGAAGCCAAATGTGTGCTGCTAGTAAGACTCGGCATACTGTCCTGTATAGCATCTGGTAACACTTTTGACAGGGCAGACAAATTCTGATGAAAACATTAGGCAGCTTTTGGGTTTATACTCCTGCCTCTTCTTGGTAGGTGTGATTACCAGTTTCAAGCCAATGAAGTGCCAAAGCAGCCTGCAGCAACTTCAGCATGGCATGACCTCCAGAGGCATATTGTGTGGTTGGTGCCTGGCCTGTGGAGTCTGCATGGGTTTATTAGTGTTTGGAAAAGCACTTCGTTCTTTCAGCCATCCTTCTTGCTACTGTGTGAATCACCTGGGAGATGCTGAAAGGTTATTTTGTGATTTGAGACTCGCTGAGTTCTGTGCAATCTTAAGGAGCAATCGAATGACTGCCAGGGCTTGGTTTTATACTGCCTTCACCTGAGTGGCTACATATTGGTTGTCTTGCTTTCTTTAATCAATAATTTTGATCTGTGTATGATTGGTTTGCAGGGGAAATCTGTTCAGTTTTCCTGGCACACAAGAAGATGATGAATTACATAAAAATCCCAGTGACTGGCAGTACCAGCAACACAAGGCAGGTGACTGTGGTGGACAGGTCCATCCTCAGAGGATGCAGCAGGACTGCCATCGACAGCCCCCTGGTGCTGAGGATGGGGAGTCTGTGGAGACTGGTACTGTTGGCACTCAGACAGAAGAAGGGAGAAGAATGCAGAAGAAACGAAGTAAGGCTGTCAAAACTGATGACAGCCGTGAGAGGTGGGCAAACACTAAGAACAAAGGGATTCAAACTACAGCAGACTGTCCTTTTACCCCAACAACTGTTACAAAAGCAACACAAACGTCAGAAGAAATCTGTAGACAGGTGGAAGTGGGAACCAGTATGTCTAGGCAAAGACCTGGGCAACAAGACGCGAATGTCCAAACTGAGGAGAGTGGGCGAAAGCTTGTGAATGCCTCTGGAGAGGACACAGTCTCTCTGCACAGCCAGGTGGGATGAAGGCTGCCTGAATGTAATTGTACTGGTTTTAAGCAGTAAAGTGTCCCTTCAGCCAGTATGTTTGCTGGCAGTAAGGTCTCTGTTGGAAAAAAGCCAAAAGATGTTAAAAAATGTCGCAAACTTTCCTGCATCAACTGTACACAGCTGCAAGGCAGGAGTATGGGGTGGGTGGCATAGGCTGGGGGAGTAAATGTCTCCCAAGTTTTGGCTGGTGGGTTTTTTTGTGTCCTCAGATGTAGTTAACACTGTAAAAAAAATTTAACTTTTTGTTGGGTAGAGATGGGAGTTGCATGAAATTCTGCCTTCTATTTTGCAACAACCAACATCTGACAGCTTGTTCTGCTGTGCTTCCAGTGTCAGTGGAGAACATGGGAGGGGAGAGCTGCTCCAGAGAAACTGTCTAATAACATGAACAACTTTGAATTAGTATTTCAGAAAGTATTGCAGGCTCCAGGAAAATCACTGCTTTGCAGTTACAGCCTGTACGTTTTCTTGTAAACACAAAGCCTAAAATTATTTTTTTCTAAACTTAAGAATAGTACATTCTCTGGGAAATAGGAGATGAACAGGGCCATAAATACGCAGTACAACATTGATGTGATATGTCTGAGTTCACTGAATGGAACAGCTACGCAGGTTTGCTGTTTCCTCCTTGGGCTGCTGTGATTTCCCTTCCTCCACCTGCCAGCAACACGTGTTCAGTTCTCCTTTAGCATCTCCGGTGTCGTTGCGTCTGGTCCGTGACAGGGTGCTGAGAGGTTCCCTGCCCCGGTACCGGAACACGGTGTGACGAGACCGCAGTGCAGGGACAGCACTACCCAGAAGTTAGCTGCTCTCCGTGGTGGTCTGTTGTAGCTGTGGTGTGTCCTGCTGGTTACAGGGGGAGGAGGAGTTCCACCTCCGGCGCCCACCGAAGGGCCGCGTCCAGCGCCGCCAGGTGCGCACCGTCCGGGAGGTGCGCACGGTGGTCACTCGTGTGATCACTGATGTCCTCTACATAGACGGGGCAGAGGTGGAGCGAAAGGTGGTTGAGGTAAGTTGCTGGTTTCAGAGCTAACCATGATGGCATTTGCTGAAAAAATAAAATTTATTCGAGTGAGATTGTGTTGTGGCTGCAGCAGGTGGGTCGAGTGAGGAGGTGAGCGTGCGGTGATGAGGAGCTTTCCCTGCTGGGCAGACTCCTGGACTCTGCAGTGCCTCCCACGGCAAAGGCTGGCTGGCTGCTGATCTGTTTCATGCCTGCTACTGTATTCTGGAGACACACTGACTTTTTTTTTCCAGACAAATAACTGAACAATAGACTTTACTATGTGCATTGAACTGTTTTAAAATTCTTGGGTTTTTTTTTCCAGACTACAGAGAGCTCAGAATGGGCACAAATTCTGTTAGTAAGCAAAAATCAGTCCTGCCTGTAAAATAGAACTGTGTAAGGTAGTTTAACCTGTTTTGCAGCTTAGCATCATTTTTGGCCACACTCTTGAATACTGTGGACCAGGTTCTGTAAAAGGTCTACAAAAAGCAACTTAAAAACAAAAAATGAAGCCTATTGTTAGTACAGTCGTCTTGGTGTATGTCTATTCATTAATTAGAAAATCTGAGAAATGCTGTTTTGATGTACACAGTAATCACATCAGCCTGCTAGCAAAAAAATGTTGCTGCTATTCTGCTGTAAAGGTGAATACATAAACAGTCTTGTGCTCTGTTGCTTCAGTGAGTAGTGACACAAAAGGATAAATTAGTTCAGTGCAAAGCTGATACTTTCATACCCAGTGCTACATGTTAAATTCCTTATTGTAATGTTAAAATAGAGAATTGTCTCCTGAAAATGTGCTTACCTAGGTTGTGTAATCACAATCATGTAGCCATTTTCCATTTAGCTACTGATGTTTCATGTCCCTGTTTTGCAGATACATATTTTTATATCCATAAAGCTGATCTGGGATTATTAGTAACCAAAGGCTCCTGGTGTCTCACGTATCTGTTGCACTCTCACCCCCCTGAAGGGTGGGAATTAGTCAGAGCCAGACTAATTTGTTACTAACCAAGCTCAGTCCTGTTGGGTGGTTTCTGAGTGTGACCTCTGTGTGCAGAGCAGCTACAGACCTATGGTGAGAGCTGTGTTCTCCACCCCGGATCAGTGCAGACTCCTGTGTGTGGCTGGCTTCAGTTTCGTGAATGTGGTCTCACCTTGTCTATGCTTTTCCCTGGTGGTTATAGGGCTTCCATCTCACAAGTGCATCACCTTTGATGAACATCTTTTTTTTTTTTTTTCCCTTCCATTTTTCTCCCTCACCCTCTAGGAAACCGAGGAGCCTGTAGTGGAGTGCCAGGAGTGTGAGACTGACACATCCTCCTCTAGAACTGCAGCGGGCTCATCACTGACCTCAGGGGACCTTGGTGATGTCAGCTCCTTCTCATCTAAGGCCTCAAGCCTCCACCGTACATCTAGTGGAGCAAGCAGTGGTCACTCTGCCACACACAGTGGCAGCTCAGGGCGTGGAACCGGAGCTGTCAAAGGCAAAGTGTGTGGGACAGAAGCTGGAGAGTTTGCTTTACCCGTTCCCAGAAGTGTCTTAGGAAAATTGAGGTATGTGCAAGCTTTGGGAGAGGAACAACAGTTATTTTGTGGAAGCGAACAGCTGGCTTGGGTGGAGTGTGAAGCAGGATAGACCCTAAACCAGGAATTTTCTGGGAAGAATCTGGCTTGACAAACAGAAATAAGGAGACAGTCTTTGCTTGTATGGCATCGCTTTGTGGCTTGGCCTAAGGTGTTGCCACTTCGAAAGCGATGAGGCAAACTTCCTCATCAGTTGTGAGATCACAGAGAAAATATGGGGATCCTAGCTGGCTTCTCTTCAGAACAGTTAACTCATAAATTCTGTAGCCCTAGGAAAGGAGCTGGTCAGCCAGCATCTCCACTCAGAGGTGGCCAGCCAGGAGCACTGCCTGGTGAGGAAGAAGAGGAGTCTATACTTGGTACTCGTCAGGGGGGCAAAGCGCCTGCGACACCTTGTGGGCGAGGAAGAAGAGGCCGCCCACCATCTCGAGCAGCAGGAGCAAGGTACCGTGGAGAAAGGAGACATTCATTGCCAAGGATGAGACTGGAGAAGCATTGACTTAATGTGGGAGAGTAAAAGGGGTAGTGAAGGGTTCAGGGTCTAGTTTTTGGTGATAGCATGTAGCAGTTGCAGGCATCTTGCCCAAGTATTCTTTGTGTAGTAATTTTTTCCTGATCCTTCTGGGACTGCTTTTCTCTTTCCCACAGAGATTCAGCTGGGCTGCCAGGTGTGGAGGATCTCTCAACTACAGCATCACCCGAGGAGAAATCACTCACTCGTTCAGGTCGCCTGCCAGATGGAGGGGAGAAATCTGACACTTCTGGGTTCTGTGCCTTACGCCGAAGTGACTCTCCAGAAATACCATTACAAGTGGAGACTGGTCCTCTGGATGGTGCAGACTCATCCTCTGGGAGCAGCTTTGTAGGCCTCAGGGTTGTAGCAAAGTGGTCCTCAAATGGGTACTTCTATTCTGGGTTGATTACCCAAGATGTTGGGGCAGGAAAATACAAGCTGCTCTTTGATGATGGATATGAATGTGATGTGCTGGGAAAAGATATTTTACTCTGTGATCCTATCCCACTGGAGACTGAGGTGACTGCACTTTCAGAGGATGAGTACTTTAGTGCAGGTAAGAGCAGTGCTTGAACTCCATCCCTGGGTTGTCTGAGTTGCTGAGTGCAGTGGGAGATGGATGCTTGTCTAGGAGGGTGAGGAGCCTGGGTGTCGTTGATTACCTGGGGTGGTTTGCTCTCTCACCAGGTGTGGTGAAGGGACACCGGAAGGAGTCTGGAGAGTTCTACTATTGCATTGAAAAGGAAGGCCAGAGGAAGTGGTACAAACGAATGTCTGTTATACTGTCTCTGGAACAAGGAAATAAGCTCCGGGAGCAGTTTGGGCTAGGTCCTTATGAACCTGTCACCCCCCTGACCAAAGCAGCTGACATCAGTCTTGGTAAGGGCAGGTCCTGTTTAGCTGCTGGCTGTGCTGCTCTGCATCTTCTGCCTTTGAGATGCTTCTAGTTCCTGGTCTGAATTACCAATGTTTAAATCTTCCTGGGTATTCAGCAATGCTTTTGATACTTTCTAATGGGATCTTTGATATCCTTTCATTGTTCTGTGCCTTGCTCAGAGACTTAATGGTGTTGCCTGGCTTGTGGAGGGTGGCCTGCTGCTCGGGCAGTGGCGTTTGCTGTGCTTGTGTCCAGCTGCTGGATGGCTGCTGGGTTACAAACTCTTCAGCAGCGCTGGGAGGAAACAGACAGGCTGCAGGCCTGACAAGAAAGATGCATAAGCGAGACATTTTCTTGCTGTTCTCTGCCGGAGGGTGGTAGTGTACTCCCTAGTGGACTTTCTAGGTGCTCCTGAGCTCAGCCACCTCTGTACAGACCGGTGGGACGAGAGCTGGGGCAGTCAGGTGACAGCCAGGGGCTGATCTCTGCACGCTGTGTCACAGATAACCTTGTGGAGGGGAAGCGGAAGCGACGAGGGAACCTGGGTTCCCCCAGCACGTCCAGCAGCAGCACGACTCCCCCTCGCAAGGGGCAGGAGAGTCCCCGCCTCCCGCCGGGCCCGCTCGCTGGGAAGAGGAAACTTGTTGCCTCTGACAGTGAGAGGTCCCCGGCTAAGCGTGGCCGCAAGTCCACAGCGATAAAGCCTGGTGAGAACCTTACTTTCTGTTCTTAGACTTGTGTTCAACTATTTTTTTTTTCCTTCCTGATATTTCTGTAATCTTTCCATTTCCCATATGCAAGAGGTAGATGAGATTGCTTGTTTGCCCTGCAGGGTTTGAGATTGATTCTCCTTGGCTGCATTTAGCAGCCAGAGATATTTTTAGCATAGTCTGAATACTTACGTGCTATCTTTTCATTCCAAGTTTTAGAAATTTCCTCACCTTAATACTGTGATTGACCTCTCTCCTTTCTTAGCTCTTATCTGTTTAGTCAGTCCTGAAATGCCTAGCTGCTAAAGGGACCCTGCACAGCTCTAGGTGTTCTTTCAGGATGTTGACAGACTGTTAAACTTGATCCCAGCAGTCATTTGGGTTTTGACTTGAAGATCCTTTGCAACCAGAAGGATAAAAGATCCCTGCCAATCCTAGTGTCATCTTGCCCCAATCCTGCCGTTGTCTCCTCCAGTAAAATAACTGAGGTTGAACATATTCCAAATCTTAGTGCAGGTTCTTTGTGCTGAACCTGTCTTTTGAGACTCATGAAGCTTCTGTCTCTCTGCAGCGGCTGTGAGAGCTGGAGAGTTTGTAAGCACCTGTGAAGGTGTAGATGCTGTAGATCCCCCAGTACTGGAGGACCATCATGGACCCTTGCCCAGCAATAAGACCCTCTTCTTGGGCTATGCCTTTCTCCTCACCATGGCAACACCCAGTGACAAATTGGTCAATGACCAGAAGCTATCCGATGGTCCCACAGGGAGTAGTGAGGAGGAAGAAGGTGAGGCAAATCTTACCCATTGCATTTCCCAGTGGAATGCTGTGGCTTTAGGAAACATGCTGGATGCTGTCTGATCAGGCATTTGCGTGAGTGCTTGTTTTACCCTTTTGCTCTTTAATCCTTTGCAGAAAGGACCGAAGAATCAGTCTTTGTTCTAGAAAATTTACAGCCTGAAATGTGGCAGACCTCAATGATGATCATAGGGCTGTTCAGCATGTGAAAATTATCGAGATCAGCAGCTTCAGAATAGTATAGTATGAGAAGGAAGCTTTGGAGGAGCAAGGGATAGTGCTGGGACATGTGGGACTTGGAAGCCTGAGGGGGTGGGTCCAGCTTGCTGCAGTCAGGTTTCATCCAATGAACTGCAGCATGAAAAAGTGACAAGATGCTCACTTGGCTAGTTTGGCCAGTGCTGCGCTTCCCTTTCTGCTGCCTTTGGTCGTTTGGCTGGTTGGTTTTTGTTTGGTGGGGTGGTGGCTTTTTTTTTTGTTGTTGTTTTTTTGGTTTTTTTTAGGTTTGGGTCTTTTTTGACTCTTTCAGGGCTTTTCTCTGGATACTCTAGGGAGAAAGGCTGGGTTCCATAATGGAATGGAATGTAGACTGAGGATTGTACAGACATCAGCAGATAGACTATAGCCAAAAATTGAACTTTTTGTTTCTGCTGTAGAATTTTTAGAGATTCCTCCGTATGACAAACACTACACAGCACAGCAGCTGCGAGCAGGAGCTGGCTACATCCTGGAAGACTTCAATGAAACACAGGTAAGGACTCGCCAGTCTAGAATGAGAGTCACAGAATCATTGACTTTGGAAGCAATTTCTATAGCTCATCTTGTTCAATCCCCCTGCTGAAAGCAAGATCAGATAAAGCAGATTCCTTAGGTCCTTGTCCCGTTGGATTTTGAATATCCTCAAGGATGTGGACAGCTTAATCCCATGTTTGACCACCCCCAATCAAAAAAAAAAAAAAGCAAAACCAAACCACTTAAATGGAAATTCCTGTATTTTAGTTTGCACCTGTTGCTTCTTGTCCTTTTAGTGGATAACGCCAAGAAGACTCTGGTTCCATCTTTTGTACACCCTCCTGTCAGTCACAAGTGCACAGACAAGCTCGCCCCCCTCGGCCTTCTGTGGTGTGCCAGGTGCTCTAGTGCCTAGATAGCTTCTCTGGGTCCTTGGCTGGGCCTCTGGTGGTGGTGTACTGCGGAGCCTAGGAGGGGATGCAGTGCTCCAGAGGTGCTTTCACCACAGGTCTCTGCCTTGGAACACCTGGAGGTAGAGTTACAAGATCTACTTGGACAATTAATTTCATTTAGTGTTGCTTTTACTTAGGTTTATTTTTAATAGAGAGGGTAGAAGGTTCTTGGAGTGTCTTGCCTGAGGATGCAGTGTCTTTAGTTGCTGAGTTTCAAAGCACAAGATGAGTATTCTCCTTTGCCTGCACTGGGAGAGAGAATTGTGATAGAAAAGCTGCCAGGCAGAGCTCTTTCCTGTGAACTGGGTAGCTTGGAACAGGGGATGGTTACAGCTACTCCTGAATTCAGCATCTGTTTATCTAATCCACCTTTCACACAATATGGCTGTGAAAATCAGCGTTTCAGTTGTTGTCTTCATAAACTGTTTAGCAGCAGGACGACTTTGGGTTTTTTTTGGCAAGCACTGTCTCCTGTTCACATGTCCCTTTCTCTCCCCTGAAGTGTAATGCAGCCTATCAGTGTCTCTTAATTGCCGACCAGCATTGCCGAACTCGGAAGTACCTGCTGTGCCTTGCCAGAGGGATCCCTTGTGTGTCCCACGTCTGGGTCCACGACAGCTGTCATGCTAACCAGCTCCAGAACTACCGAAATTACCTTTTGCCAGCTGGTTATAGCCTCCAGGAGCAAAAATTGCTAGAATGGTAAGTGCGTGCCAAATAACCATGATCTGAGTCCATAGACTGAGGATTTAATCAGAGAAAATTATTATGCTTGGGAAGCTCTGCAAGTACTGAACACGTCCCTACCACTGCTGCTCAGGCTTCTCCTTCCACATCTCTTTCCTTGGATTTGGAGTGACCTCTAGTGCCATATACACCAAAAAGAGTCTCCTGTAAAATAAGAGAGATGTCCAGTTTTCCTCATAAGGAAGGCTGAATTCAGGCAGGGCTTTTCACACACTTGGCCCTCTTCTCCAATTCCTCAGAAATGGATCGAGTTGAGCAATACTACTGCAATTTCCTTTGGTACATTTTGAAGCCAGCTTGTCCACTTCCAATGGAGTCTAATCCTGTAGGTCTGAGAGAACAGTTATCAGGTCAGATTCCTCAGGCAAGGTGAGGTGTGGACCAAAACAGGCTGTGAATCTCTGTGGGCTTTTAGGCAGGAGACTGATGCCTGTCTGTTCAGTCTTGTCTAAGCAGAGGCATTTTGGATATGCACAGAAAAGCTGGTTCAGGATTAAGGAGGATTGTAGCCCAGTTCTGGACTGAGGCTGCTGCACACACACCCACCCCCTAATATTGTCTAGCTCTGTTTTACTGTCTATAAACAGGATAATTGTTCCAAGTGTTTCAGGAGGAGTAGTAAGAGAGCAGGTCATTCAGGATAGTCAAAGAACCAATATGGGAGCCAATCAGCTAACTTGAAATAGACAATGGTCCTCAAAGTTTCACTGTACTGAATGTTCTTAGCAGTCTGCCTTTCTTCACTTTGTTCTGCAGGCACCCGAGAGAAAATCCATTCCATAACCTGAAGGTTCTCCTGGTGTCAGACCAGCAGCAGAACTTCCTGGATTTGTGGTCTGAAATCCTCATGACAGGGGGAGCATCATCTGTTAAACAGCATTACTCAGATGCTCACAACAAAGGTACTCATTGGCTGGTTTCTCAGGCCTAGCAGTTGGGAATCCCATGGCACTGTGGTCTCTAGTATGGGCTAAAAAGATTTAGGATGGGTTACAAGGTTGCCTATAAGCATAAGGGAAGGCAGAGTGCAGACACTTGCTCTCTGCAGAATGTAGTCCAGAAGACCAGCCTCCCAGAGGAGATGCTGCAGCAGCCCCAGCACTCACAGCCCCGGGTCAGGACTCGTGGGCAGCTCGTCCCGACGATCAGGGTGGCTGCTGCTGGTTTTGTGCCAGCTTCTCTCTGGACTGGGGGGATCAGTCGCTTGCAAGGTGCAGTGTTTCTGTAAAGCACATCTAACTTTTACCAAGAGAATTCACTGGCTAGGAATGAGAGGACATGGAGAGGGGGCTCACAGTGGTGAAACACGTTGATCTGCTAGAGATCCTTTTTATTGCTTTCCACCTGACAGATGCCTCTCTCCCCCTGTGCAGATGTCGCCTTGGGTGTTTACGACGTGGTGGTGACTGATTTTTCCTGCCCAGCTGGGGTCTTGAAGTGTGCAGAAGCCTTACAGCTGCCTGTTGTCTCACAGGAGTGGATAATCCAGAGCCTTATTGCTGGGGAGAGAGTAGGCTACAACAAACATCCTAAGTATAAACATGACTATGTCCCCCACTAAGCTAAAATTTTTCTCTGCTGTCCCACTGTTGTGCAGACTGTTTTAATAAGGTTTTAAATGTTTGTGTAATTGGACAGTGTGCATGGATTACTGTATATAGTTTTATCTGCTCGACTTTTATGTTGAAATAAATGTTCAATCTCTTGTGGTAGCTGCTGGGACGCCTCATTTGTCTAAATTTATCCCAGGGCCATGCCTCCAGAGAGGAAAGAAATACATTTCTCAAAGCTGAAGAGTCTGTTATAGCAAGGCTAGGAAATCTTAGTAACATACAGGAAGTTTCTGCCAGATACTGCTTTCCATTGAAATAGAATGCTGTACTGCTCTAGTCCCTTTGCACTTGGGAGCAGACATTGACAATATTCCACGTAATTGCATGGCAAGATGGTTTTATTTGGTTCGGTAGGATAGTCACTAGTACCATTTTACACAGGCGAGTGAAAACAGGACATTTAGAGCTGGCATCCTTGTTAGGTTTCTCCTTAGTTTTAGTTCCAGCACACTTTTCAGCCAGCTGAGGGTCCTTTGTACTCAGAAGTAGGAACTTTACCCTATTCAGTCTTGGCGTGCACAATTTTACCACAGAAATTGTATTTAGTTTTATAGAGAAAGCATGTGAGAGCACTAGTGGCTCCTTTGCCTATACAGATACGCTAGAGCAGTGCACTGTATGAGAAGAGGCTCCCAAACCCTCCCCTTCACCTCAGCCTGCTAATGCAGTTGTTTACTTTTCCTGGAGGTATGTATTTGATTAGCAGAAATTACGTACTGTAAATCAGTTTACTGCACAAGTGGAACTTCTGAATACAGCCCTAACCTCATTCGAGTCAAAACCAAGAGACTCCTCCATACTTCAACTTGCAAAGGATCATAGCCCAGCTGAAGCATCATAATTCTTGTTGCAGTTTCACTTGCTGAGGAGGCACAGACTCCTTAGAGGCATTTATAATTACATGCAGGGCTGCAGAAAGTATGTTTTACCAGTTCAGGAAAAAATGAAGTCACTTTCTGCAGTCGCTGGGCAGCCTCCCATGAGTGGCTCTTCCTGCCAATCCCTTCTGAAACTGATTCACCAGGCAAGAGGCAGCCTCAGAGGAAAACTCAGTTGAGTGCAAACTCTCCAAAAGCATGAGTCTCCACTGCTTGATGTGTCATTGGTCACAGCCTGAAGAAAAGGTCTTGGTGCTTAAACCCCAAAACTGCAAGAGAAGGTTACAGTATTAACTACATGTTGAAAGAACTCCCCTTATCAGCCCCTAATAGCATTTGAGCTAGTAGCTAGTTCAATTTCATGCCAAAACAGACTCAAAGGGGAGAAAACATGAAAACTAAAAATTATCTCATGCTGGTTTGTTACTTTTCTGCCGTAGTATTTAGCAGTACTTGGCTTCTGATTAATTTATTCAGTAGAAATTACTTATGATCCTTTAGATCCCTTTGTACTTCAAGTACCCCAGGATAAGGTACAAAGAACCCTGAAGTTCCTCCTACCTGCCCAAGGTTCCTCCAGCCTGGGTGTAGTATTTGTTATAATCCAAGCGCAGCAGCAGCTGAGCCAGGTCAGAGTTTATCTGGTGATTGCGGACACTAGAGAGGATCTTGAAGAGAAGGGATGACTGACGACTGAATCCCTGCAAATTTAGAAGAAGTCAGTTCTTGGCACTCCCAAGAGAGAAAACAAGCAAGTCAGCTTTTCATCTCTGTTCCTGCCTGAACAATCCTTTCAAAGCCTGAAGAAAAGAATCACTACAGAAGAAGTGATGCTTGTGGTCCAGTATAAGGTAAGATGTCGGCCACAAGGTTTATTGGGAGTTAAGTATCCCAAAGGAGGGGTAGAAGCACTGCCTGCTACCCAACTCCTTTCTATTCCAACAGGATAATCTGCTTATCTGCCCACTCTGTGCACACACGCTTTTCCATTTGGGAAGAGCTGATTAATTAAAATCATTGCAAGTAGTCATATAGAAAGTCTCAGCTCAAACTCGCTCCTGTCCTACAGCTGTTTGAACCAAGATGACTCCTTAGGCAATGTTTGCATGGGGAAAGAACAGGTCCATATAAACACAGACTAGTGTAGATTCACCTTCACCAAAATACTGAGTTGTGCAGCTCCTCGTTCATCTAATGGGCCCAGATTCTGACTGACCAGAGAACAGAAACTATGACAAAGATCCAGAATTTCATTTAAGCAGTGGAAAACCTGCATGAGATAAAAAGTACAAGACAGAAGTTTAAACAGTTCAAACCCAGAGACAGCTGTTCTTAGTACCTGAAAAGTTGCAGCATTCATTCTATAATTCATAATCTGGATGTTGCTGCTGGTAATGTTTTCCCATCAGTAAGGAAGATGTTAAAACAGCTGTAGCATTTTTGTAAGGTTTTCTACTGAAAAAGGACATGAATTATGCTGCCTCATCCCACCCCAAGCTTTTGCAGACATCCCTAGGGAAATGGTGATTGGCATGAGCCACCCAGATGAGCACAGGAGTTGAACATTGGCTTTCCTGTCCAACCAGCCACCACTGCAGCTCCAGGGCTGAGCAGGGAAAACAGAGCAAGCACTGTGGGTCAAGACTTTGGGTTTACTGTTCACAACAAAACTTGGAATTTCTTTGATATCAGTTGGTCAAGGTAATTTGCATTCAAGACTGTTAAGAAAGTCCAAATGCTTCACAGGAAAAATTACTGGAACACTTAAAAGTTGTTGGCTGGATAATTAGTATTCTGCCACCTTTATGCTATAGCCTCAGACTGAGCAAAATGATGGGCCAGACAAGACCTGCAGCATCATTGTTCCGTTGATACCAACCATCTTTGGAATGTTTTTGTGCTACTACATGTTTAATAAAAATGCTGACAACACTGTAACACATTTCTGACTAAAACAGCAATAAAAAAAGACCCTTCAAGTCTACTCGGGAACATCCCAGCTATACTTATCCTCTAACATGTAAGTAAGAAAGGGAATGTTTCCTCATCTAATCCGTTCCAGAGTGAGTCCCTCAGGAGTACAGTTCCCAGCACCTTGCTAATTAATGCTACTTTAATAAAACTGCCTGTTAAGAAAAACATAGCAACAAAATTTAAATTAATAAGGTTAACAGAACACTGGAATAATCCTGATTTAAAATGGCCAGAATGCAGCATCCACACTCACCAACTGTAAATTAAGTGATCTTAACTCAATTAATCTGCTCTAGTTTATACCTGTTTTATTCCTCAGGAGGTTATTACTGCTCTGTTTTAAAAGAATTTGTTTGTCTTATCTCTCCACAAAGGTACATTTCGTAGGGCAGCTGGAGAACTTGTAGAAAAAGGTGTAAAAAGATCTACTTACAGGCTTTAGGAGGATGAAAGACTGAGCCAACAGGTTACTTAAGAAATGATCATGGGCCAGTCGTATGCTCTCGAAGTCGCGGGTGGCGGTGATCTGCTGCAGGAGCTGTGAGAACTGGGACTCCAGCACGTCCACCTGGGGAGGGACACAGGCACAGCTCGTCAGCAGGGGCACCTCCTGCCTCCAGAGGCTTTGGGTGAGAAATGTCCTTTTCTTATTGCTGCTTTTGTCTTAGAGGCTGAGGATCACGTTCTCTGTGCCTCCTGGATGGGGAACTGTGTTTAACTGTGGGACGTGGGGTGGGGGTGGCCTGGCAATGTTTCATACCTAAGTATTAGCTACGTAGAAAGGGAAATGGTCACTTCCTTGAAGATTAGCTATTGAAAAAGTATATAGCTAGCATGTAAACAGAGGTTATTTCATTGTGGTCATCTCTGAATTTCACACTGGGAGATGCTATCTGGGATCTCAGGGGAAAGACTACAGTGCAGAAGCTCAGCCATATTCCTCTGAGGAACCTAGAAAGCTGGGCCCCCTCAGTTCAAGTCTTAGGGTTGTTAACAAAAAGAAATGTAATCCTCACAAAATCATGCTACTGGTAACTGGTGTTTACATATGAAAAGTCACTTTTTTTACCTCAAATTGTCATAATACAGCTTCTTTCATGTCTGAAAAAAGCTAAACAAACCCACCCACAGAAACAAAATAAAATAATTTGTCACTTAACTCAAACTGGAGTTCATTTCAAGGGGCAAGGGGGGAATCCAGAATGGTATCTTAATGGTGCTATTTCAGAGATGACTGTTGCTTCCCACAACTGTTTAGTAGCACTAGAGCGTCTGAAGTCCTGCATTTCCAGTAACACTGTCACAAGTCCAGAAGACTTGTAATTATAGCACTAAGTCTGGGAACTCAGAGAAAGTTCTAGACTTGTTCCAAAGGAAATCTTGGTTTCCTTTATGTACAAAGAATCTGAACGTTCAAAGACAGAACTTAAGTGCTCCCTCAACGCATTTATGCCAGTTCCTGGTCAGCTGATGCAGTTTACCTTCCTCTATAATCCTGACCTGCAGATAATACTGAAGATTGTCCACAAGGAAAGCCATGTGATCCCTCAGACGCCACTTGATGGCATCAGTTCTGTTGGATTTCAGGTGCTTGCGTTGCATCTGGAGAGCCCAGCAGTGCTGTAGCTCAGCCTGCACTCGTCGCACACTCAGCAGGTATTTAAACACCACATTGTACCTGCAGTCAAAAAGTACAAAGTTTTTTAAGATTAAAGTCTTCCTTGGGTGCAGGTACTAGAGAACAAAACTGGAAAAAGAAGAAGGAGGTGGCTGCCTGGCAACAGACAGGAGAGGTCGAGTGATGGTCCATCTCCTGAGTAACAGATTTCTGCTTGTATTGGCTACTGACCTAAAAAATGCAAAGTTAATTTCACAGTAAGGAAGGAACAGCCAGGAATGTTTTGTTAACACAGCACTGTTCATGAAATAGTGCAGAATTGCAAAGTGTCATTTTAAAGTTCAAGCAGCAAGATAAATATTATGGCTCTACCTTTCCCTCCACAGAGACGGGAAAAACCACAGCTCATGAGTGAGTGCCTGAGATCAAGGAACCTACAGATAAAGACACACAGACCACACCTAGCACTTACTTCTCCAGAACAGCAGGAGTAAAGAGAATGTGCAGTGGCCACTGAACTTTGTACGAAAGGCCCAGTGCTGCCCATCCCGACGCGGGGGCCTCACGTGGAGATAACTCCCGGGAAGGCCCTTCACGAGTCTGAGGAGCATCTGAAAACAAAGGAGGTGCTGAATCAATTGTTCTTCTCAGTCAAGGCAACTGACTGAGTGGGCAAGGAATAAAAGGGGAAAGAACAGAATAAGAAGAACCAAAGCAGGCTAGTCTATCATGTAGGCCGCAAAGGGAACAAAGTTAATATTTCTTTAACTTCAGAGAAGGGAAAGTGACAGGACTTGAAAACAAGATCACCTCCCCTCTTAACTCACTGCTACAAACCCAAGCAGGTACCTTTATGCTCCTTTCCATGATACTCAATGGTTAAGTGCAGCAGAGGAAGAAGGTTGTCATCATCTAACAGCACCTTATGAGCAGACTGCTGAAATGCAACATTGACATCTGCCAAGAGAGCACAGGTAGCAACACAGGATGACACAGCTAGTGTTAATTTTGCATCCATTAATTATGTATGTTTGGCCGTAAAAGACAACAGGGTCTCCCTATTTCCACCAGTTTCATTTAATTGCAGTTTCAAATATGGAGAGACACCTGCTATCTGAAAATTGCTGAGATGTTATTTTCACCTGCTCTGTGAGACAATTTGGATTCACAAGTGCTGTTCTTTCAAAGCTAATGACAAAACCTAGAGGATAAGACAGAGCTCTTCTGTAGATGGCTAATCATCTTCCTGCTATGCCACAGCAAGGACAGCTTGGTAAGTGACTAAGTAACACTCACCATGTTCAGTGACAGCTGTAGGTGGTGCCTTTAACATGTGCTGTGCAGTGTCAATGAAGGCCTGGAAGAGCTCACCTCTTCCCAAGAGATAAAAGTCTTTTATGATCTGTGGAGATAAATTTTTGGTAGATCAGCATATCAAAAACTGAGCAGAGATTTTAAGCATCCTAGCTGATGGCATTCGTTTTCATTATTGCTTGGACAGCTTCTGGCATTCCAAAACACAGCTGGAAAGCTCCAGATTTCATCCAGTGCCCAAAAAGTCTACGCTGCCGTCGCTTCAAGATGCAAACCATATACATACACCCCTCTAACTGTCTCTGACCAAGTTCTATCACTCTGTGCTCACTCCTGAGACCTGGAAAATTAAAACAGCTGTACCTACAAGAAGAAAGTGCAAAATCTAAGACATTAAGTGAAACATTTAATGGGAAAGAGACATTAAAAAAGAAAAAAAAAATTAAGCTGCTTTAAGAAAAAACGAGCTAGCAGTTACATTACCTTTAGTTGTCCTAGCAAATCTGACTCCTCCACCATCAGCTTCCAAAGATGCTAGTGAGAAACAAAAACCAGAAGAAACCTCCCCTCAGATTCATGTAAACCCATTCAGTGAGAAAAGCAGCAGTCCTAAGATACTTGCAATGCATACAAAACACCTGCATGAACTGCTCTACAAAGCACAGGAGAACACACTGAAATCCTGTGTGTAGGCAGCCCATGCTGCTGGGTAGAACACTCCTGATGTATACCAGGCAAGAAACCCTGCCTGAGATACGTGAAGACCCATGGCAAATAAATAAGTGAATCCTTATGAAATTAGTTCTACCCTAGCATGGTTCTTACTTCTGTAACCTCCTCATCTTCTCATGTTCCAATGCCCAGCCCAAATGAAAAGATTAAAAATTGCCAAAGCAAAGGATTTGTCCAGTGAGATACCATCTATTATGCTGAATGCATAATCAAAAGTTTGGCTTCAAGTGAAAAAGCTGCTTCAAGTGAAATTAAAAAAAAACAAAACACCAAAACCATAAAAATTCCTTTCTTCCCCCCGGGCACAGTATTCTTTAATGTCCCATTACAGGCTGAGGTAACACGAAGTTCTGAACCCCAGAAGAACATGAAAGCTATAAGCAGCATTCACACACTTGTTGGATCACAGGTTCTGAGACGTGCCCTGCTCCTCCCAGTTGTTCACAAGACTGAAGAGTGAGCTCCTCAGCCTGCACAGCAGTTATCTTCCTAGGGGGCTTACCTCAGCAACGGTGCTCCGGATCCAGTCAACCACTGACTCAAAGTCCACCAGACTAAAGAGTGGCTGCTGCTTGAGTCGATGTAGCTCTGCTGCAAAAGTGTCCTCCTGGTTTTTTAGGATGGAGCCTGTGCAGCAATGAGAAGTGTTTTGGACAATGAAAGGAAGACCATTTAGAGAACTGCAGACCCCTTCTAGCACAGTGGGGCAGAAAGGCTGTCCAGGCAGCACCACCTCGGGTCTGGTGAGGAATGTGAAATTAAGGAGGCCTCAAAGTACAAGTACCAAGGTACAAGATTACTATACTGCAGTTACACTTGCCATGGCAGTGCTGTGGGTATCCATAAAAACCCCAAATACTTTTTTTTGTAAAAGATTGCCACTAACAGCCCTTTTTCTAGGACTGAGTTAGACCTTTACTGCCACATGAACCAGGTGGTTTGGTTCTTCACCTACCTCTGTGTCTTTCAGGTCCACCCTATTTCTTGAACTTGGTTTTGGGGTGTGAGGGTTTGTTTGTTTGTTTGTTTGTTTTTTTAACCAGCTAAGCTAGAAGAAAAGTTTCGTTTCACCTCATTTCTGCTCAGGCAAGAAAACGGTCCAATTTAATTGGTCCTTTGTTCTCTGTAATGTCACTCGAGTCATCTGACTCATAGAACTTGCTTTATCCAGAGCAAATCACATGACTTGTTGCTGGAAACATGGAGACTATGTTTGGAAAGTGCTATTATTTACTCATTCTCTTCTTATACTGACCCCTTGGAATCAAACAGAAGCAGAACACTGGGACCACTGCTCTGCCCTAGTACAACCATCCATATGTTCTGACGAGTAGCCAACAGTAGTGACTGTTGAGGAACTGATTAATACAGCATTTTGGAAGATACTTGTCAGTCACTCATAACTGAGCAAAGGCTGCAAGAAAGATGTTCCTTACCTTTTCTGGTCAGGTTAACATTTTGGTTCTCAAACATCTGTACAGACTCTCCCACAAAGAGGATTTTCTCAGCAACCCGCACAGGAATGTACGAAGGCAGCATTTCTACTCGCAGAGAAAACTGTTTCAGAGATGGAGCTAACATGTTCTCCTCCTCAATCAAGCGCTGTCAGACCCAGGGAAAAGAAATCAAGCAGAAAAAGCATGAGAAAAACAGACAGAAAAGGTGTAAAAAGGTACCTGTATGTGTGGGAGGGGGAAATCCAAGCACATTGGGAGCAGGCCTAGAGGTAGCAAACCTGATTTGCATTATTCACGTAAGCTTGCAAACTTCTTTATACTTCTGGAACACAAGCAGATCTCCCTAGAGAAGGTGTTGCATTCATCAGAGAGGGGAGCAGAAGTGTGAAAGGAGAAGCTGCACCTTTATGGAATAGCAGCCAACTGGCTTTCCCAAAGGATAATGTTGCATCAGCAAAAAGAATTTTTGTTGCAGCTGCATTATATGAGGTTTTTTCAGCCATAACAATGTCAATTGGCATTACGAAAAATAATCCTCCCCTATATCCCTTCCTTTATGTTTTAACACTGCTAGAGCACTTGTGATATAGGCCAAATGTGGAGACCTCCACTAATGAGCAACCAGGTTAAAGATCTGAAGGCTTGCTAGCATAAATCTGGCCATTTCTGTTTCTGCAAAAGGTGTTTAAAGCAATAAAGTTATTAATTTGCTTCTGAACGTATTAATAAAGAACTCCAAGTACAGATGCAAGATTTTCCTTCAGAGAAGCAATACTGGTTATTTCATTTAGCTTTCTTGTCATATAAACCAAAAAAACCCACCACGCTAACAGATTTTTTTTTTTGCCACTTACAGAATTAATTTTAATAGGAGAGTTCAGTATGAATTTGTATACTGATGTTAACAGCCTCAAAATATTTTCTTAAGATTCTTCTAACACTTTTACATGAGGAAATACCCAAATATTTCATTGGTCTATCCCTTCAACACACAGGATCTTTTATTTTACTCTCTGACTGAAGAATTACTGACTGATGCTGTTAAGTCAGTAATGCTAAAGAAGAGGGTTAATTAGGCTCTCTTGGTGTCATCTTCTTAATGCCTACAGTTTCCACCATGGATCTAGAAGATTCACCAATTTTCACATTCCTCCTATATCTGATACAGTGAAATAGATTTTTCAACTAACTGCTTTTTGAAGTTTTCCCTTGGTTTTGCCTGCATGTAGTCTGTCCTCAGCAGAGACTGTGCAGGGCATTAATCAGTATGCAGCACAGGGCATTTCAGGGGTGAAGCCCGTGGTGCAGCCAGGCTGCAGGCAGCACACTAACACCAGGGGCACCCATGAAAGGTTTTCTCACGGTAAACTAGTGTGAATTTACAGAGTTGCAGCTGCTCCTCATTGGCCTCTGATGCAGACACTATTCAGATGCACAAAGTGTGGAAGATTACTCCATTGAGAAATCTTCCTGCACAGGGGCATTCTAATGCTATGCCAGCTATAGAAGGAGTTAACTGTGTTTCACAAGTGTGTTTTCAGGTTGTTCCCTTGCTTAATGAGCACCCTGAACAGCATCTTAGCAGTCTCTTGACATAGCAGGATTTCCCCCAGTCGTGTCAGTAGTATTACCCTGTTAGGAAACATGTGCACAACAAACGGTTGCACAAGAACAGTCCCTGACCCAGCTGCCAATAGAAAGGGCAAATCAAGTCAACACCCAAGCTCCCCACACCCTCTCCCTTACAACTGTTCACACTACCACCAGTGCTTGTGTTGAGCAGATCATAGTGTTCACTGTAAGGAACCAGCAGTCAGTGAAGAGCAGGGTGAGCACAGCAGCTCATTACTTGGCATCAGCACCACGGCAGATTCCATCTGTAGGGCTTTCTGCCCCAGGATTATCCAGCTGTGCCAAAGGAGACGTGCCCTGTCCTTTATGCCTAGCTGCTTCCTCTCACAACACTGTTCATCTGCCATCCTGCAGGTCCAGATGGATGTGCAATCCAGCCTAGCCTGCACTGCCACAGAAAACAATGTATTTCTTCTGTAGCCCTGCCAGGACCGAAGAATGCCCATCGATGGCTTGCAGCCTTACCAGGTCCTGCAGTTCTCGTAGCTGCTTTCCTGTGAGCCCTCCGATTCCCAGGTCGTCGTCATCTTCTTCGGGCTGGCTAGGAACATTCCCAGAAGAGGGGCCTTGTTTGATAAAGAACTCTTCATGCTGGTCTAGTAGCAATCCATGCAGCATCCAGGCAGAGAGCTGCTTATACATGACTCCATGACACACAGCCAGAATCCTGAGGACAAGAGAAACAGACAGTGAGGCCTTTGCATGAAGTAATCAACACCTGATTGCACATAATTCTGCAATGTCCAGTTACTCAGCTGTAATGTCAGTTAATATGGCAAGTACTAAATGGAGAATGTGGCATTTTATAATTGTTTTTTTAAACAGAGAAAGGTGGACCGATCACTTGCAGAACTAAACTAACATACACTTGGAACATGTGTCCCCTCCACATCAGCTAGTGGGAGACGTGCCAGTATACCAGAAGTGTGAGTTTGCAGTGACACTCCAGTCCTACTGTGTTTCTTCTCAATTGCCATTTCAGCGTGAACATGCTATCCGTTAAGTAGTCTGACTTTCTCCCCAAGGACATAGCAAAGCTCACTCAGTCACATTTATCCTTTTGAAGGATCAAAAACCAGGAACAGGTCTATCATTCGTGACCCAGTTAATGCAGAGCTCAAAAGACAAGGAATTAAAAACACAGGGTCTGAACTTTCCTCAGCCCTAAATCCAAAGTATGGAGAAAGCCTTAATTCTTGGATAAATAATGGGGTCTATCAGTGTTCCCTGCATGCTACTCCTACTTTTAAGTCCTACAAGCCTGTTTTGCACGTGCTGTTTTCACAAGTAAGATAAACACTTTGGCACTAACGCCAGTTACTACAGAAGAACAAAATAACAGCTTTACTGTGTCTACATACTTTTCAAGAGCACTGCGAACAGGAGGCAGCCCCCCACAGCTATGTTTGTGGACTGTCTCCAGTATTTGACATCCATGAATCTGCAGAAGGAAAACATGGTTACACTAGGTTTGTTATTTGGATCTGTACTGACCTTTTCAGCCATTTAAATTTCAGCTAACAACAGAACGCCTTAACAAGCTGCACAAATTTTGCAGAAAGAAGGATGTGACCTACTCCATCTAGTAAAGAAAGAAGCCTTCTATGAGTGGCTCTGCAACCAAGCTTCTTTCAAATTTCCCTTAATAAAAAAATTAAGCATCTCTGGATTCTGAAAACATTAGCTTCTGCCTTTTTTTTTTTTTCAGGTGACGGGAGAAAAGAGACTCTGAAAAGAAGGAATTCCAACCAGCAGCATCTCGTGCTAACAAATGTATTGTGATAATATAATGCAAGTCTTCAAAGATCATACTGATAAATCAAAAAAAAGCTTTGCAAAGTAGTTATATAAAATAGGTATGTAATAGTTAAAACAGTTATATAACAATAGGTATATAAAAGGTACTAGGAGTAGGGCATCCATTACTGAAGCTACATTACTTCCTAGTATTAAAGGTCTGGCATGGAGCAGAAAGAATTTTATCAGCTAAAGAGAAAACCTGTTAAGAGAAACTAGGTGCAGTTTTACCATACCTTCTGAGTCTTGATCTGTTCCACCATGACCATGACAGAGGGGAAGAGCAACTGAAACTGCAGAACAAGGATCAAAATACTGAATTAAGTTGCTATGCAAGGAAGAGAGCAAAACTATACTTGAGTAAGTGTTGACAGCAGCTGAGTACAGTAATTTAATGAAACTGCCCTCTGGCTTATCCCAAAGCATGACATAAAAATCTCTATGAAGCAAGTCCTTCCTCCAGTGGACCAAGATGTGTGAAGTCACTGTACTCCAGCTGCAGTTCAGGCTAAACACAGTCCGTGCGGAACACACGAGGGTCAAGGTGGAGGACCTCAGCTTTGTGTCAAGGTGCAAGGAATCCTCTAACCATGATTAAGGGACTACAAATGTAGAGATTTTAAAAATACATGACATGACGTGACAGACTAACCCTTATTTATCCCACCCACTTTCTTATTAGACTCAGGGAGTGATAAGAGTAACCAAAGGGGTACCTGTTTATTAATGTGGCATACCTGGTCCAAGGAATAATTAACATGTGAAATGGAAAGATGTGGGTCAGCAAGAAACTGCAAGAACAACAAAGCAATTAATGAAAATTAAAATAAGGTATGGGTAAGTAAAACAGCACATTTGGCTCTATATTTTCAACCTTTAGTTCCCACAACTTTTTTTGCCCCCCCCCCTTATTTTTTGGGCTGTGTCCCACCTTAGACTGTAACAACAACTGGACAGTGGTAGTGCCCAAGGTATGACAGCTGCAAATGTAGCAGAGATTAATAAAAACCTTTACAGCTGAAACCAGAAATCACAATAGTCTGAGATATCACTGGGCTCTGAGGCAGACAGGATACTTACTGAACTTGAGGCAGAGGGGACAATACTTATTAGAATTAAGAGTTATTTACAATGGCACCCCACAGGAATAATTTGGAAGACATCCCTGATGTGGAGAGGAAAATACCTCATCTCCTCTTTAGCTATTACTACTTCACATATTAAAACCCTCCACAGAGTGTCGGAGGCAGGACAGCCTCTTGTTCCAAATCTCTCTCCTTTACCTCTTGTTCTAGGTCAAGCAGTGCCTGTCGGTATGGCTGCAGCACTGAATCAAGGCCTGTGCAGAAGGCTCGTAAATAAATGCCATGTAATCCACTCTGGTTTTGCTGAGACGGGTGATGGTCCTGAAACCAAATAATAAAATCTACATCAGCTCCCCAGTACAGGTCTAGAGGGTATCAGTTTCTGTGCAGTGTTACCCCAGCCGCCACTGCTCCAAACACGCCCAAGTGCACCTTAGTCCACCAAAAGGTGCCCAGGAAAAAAAAAATAAAAAGACATTTGTCACAGTCACTTCAGCAGTTATATTTAGCTCTTCTGCAGACATATATAAGTGTTGGGGAGCACTGATAATTTCAGTGCTTCTTTGTGCTTATGCACGCCTGCTGGATCTCATAGCTCTTCACAGACCCTGAGGAGCACTCGCTGCAGCGCAGGGACGAGCACGCTGGGCCCAAACCGTGCCCAGTCTGCGGTGACCAGGCAGTACGACAGCGTGCTTCCTCAAGAACGGGATCCTACCCTCGGCCCATCTCCCGCTGTTCTGCCCCCTCCCCTGTCTGCATCGCCCAGAGCATTCCGGAGCCCCGCTCGGGAGCGCGCATCTGCCTGGGCCAGCGCGGGCTGCGCTGCAGGACACCCGCGTACCGCCGGACAGCGGGGCGCGGCACCTGCTGCTG